GACGACCTGTCCAGGAACGGGTCTTTCACCAGGTTCAATTCCCCCATCAGGAGGAGGTGATCCGACACCGAGATCTGGCGAACCACCGGCTCCAGCACATCTCTGATGAAAGACCCCCGACCGCACGCCTGAGCAGGGAAGTAGGTCGCTACCAGGATGACTGCCAATCCCTTCCAAGTAAGCTTTACTTGAAGCAGCCTACCAGATCCATGCTTAACCACATCCGTTATTGTAACTGCCTGATTGAAAATGAGGACCGCCACACCCCCGACCTTTGAGACCAGCATGACTGCCGCCAAGGAATGTGGACCTAGCTCTGTCCAGGAATTGTGATATTCAGAGATCCTTGTATCCGCTAGCACCACTACGTCTGCCAGCTTCTGTATCCACTGCTTGTGCTTGTTTTGCTTGCCGTTGCTACTGAGCCTGTTAACATTGAGCTCATAGAAGGTGAGAGTGTTGCATCTATCCATTAACCAACTGGGAGAAGACCCCAAAGCATCCACGGGTCATGAAAGGTGTTGGAACTGTGCGAGTGAAATACCAAATGAGATACACACAAGATACCGCTGTTGATCTGAAATATAAAAGCTTCCTCTGTTGCAGGTGCGAGCACAACGAAGACCAACCACGAGCCGCTACGCTTTGAAGTTCTTCAGGAATGCAGCCAGATTATGGAGCATTCGTCGCTGGTATCTCAGCATCCGGTACCTCCTCCACACCCCCTGCCAGGTTCACCGGAGCAGCAGTGGAAACCGGGGACGGCTGCATGGGAACGCCCGAGGCTGGTCCTAACCCCGCATGGCCATGCGGGGAAACCGGTGCGGAGTGCTGCTCAGGATCCGTCTGATCCACAGTCAATGATGTCCTTGCTGACGCACGCGTGACCACCATCGCAGCCTTCTGCATAGTGCGATGATGAGATCCCAAAAACTGCTGGATAATGGCAGATGTAATGGGAGTACTGAGCACCAAACCACCAATTTGTAGTCCTTTGTCCTTAAACTTCCAAGCCCTCCATGCAATGTCACTGAACCATCCTGCCTTGATATAACTTGCAGTTGGAATGCTGACGCCGCCTGGTTGGTGAGGCCAGCTTGCCTGATCCAAGGACAACACACTACTCCAATCACGTGCTGTTGTTGTTTGCTGCCATTGTTGATAAGAGAAACCTGGAAGCTGGTTAAGTTTCATAGCCCGTATAGTCCTGCATGATGGAGATCCCGAGCATGATGACATTGACCAAATGTCCTGAATGTGGACATTAAAGCAGGGTCACCGTGTAGCGCTCCCTGTGTAGATTCCAACTGTATAAGTTAAAGCTCCACCTGATGTAAAATTGCTGGACATTGGGCTTAGAAAACGTCTAGGCAGAATCCATGGCAGCCCTGACATAGTTCTAGAACTGCAGCTGCCTAATCTCGACTACGACTTGACGTATGCTCCAGTTGGCAGCTATGTCACTGCTTTTCTACAGCTACTCATTGTTGCGGCATTTGACTGGGAGTTGATGCAGCTCGACATGACGAACGCATTTCTCAATGCACCCATTGATCGTCCTCTCTACATGAAGCAGCTGAAGTACTACGATGACGGTAGTGGCAGAGTTTGTCTTCTCAAGAAGAGTCTCTACGGACTCAAGCTGGGTCCAAAGCCGTGGTACAAAGAACTCGACGGAGTTCTGCAGAGCGGAGGCTAGTCGAAGAGTCAGGTCGACGAAGCCTTCTACTTCCACGAAGATGGGCATGGTGACAAGTGCTACTTGCTTATCTATATCGACGATCTGCTGGCTGCAAGTCGGAGCAAGGCGCATTTGGCAGAGTTGAAGACTCTGCTCAAGAAGGCGTTCAAGCTTCCAAAGATCAGTCTTGTGCAGAAGTACTTGGGCTTGGAGCTGATCCGGGACAGAGCTACTCAGAAGATCTGGCTGCACCAAAGAGTGTACATCGACAAGCTGCAGAGGCGTTTTCTGCCAGAGGGGCCTCCTTGACAAATCCCGAAAACGCCGATTTCTGTCGATGCGTTCGAGATGACGTTCGACGATATAGAGTTGCAGGCACACACAGAAGAAGAGTATCGCCCGGGAGTGGGATCTTTGCAGTTCGCCGCCTGCACGACACGTCCGGACATCGCTTTCGCCTGCAGCAAGCTCGCGTCTGGGCAGACTATTCGAAGTGATCAGCCTAGGAAAGAGCTCGATCGGTGCATTGCGTATCTCGTTAGGACTCGCGATGTGGCTCTCGAGCTCGGCGGAGGAGCCACAGATTTGCGCCTCGTCAGTTTCGCAGATGCCGATGATGCTGGCCACAGGCAGAGTCACAGCAGCACGAGTGGCTGCATTTTCACCCTCGGCGGAGCAGCAATTTCGTGGGCAAGCAAGAAGATCAAGTGCGTCACCCTCTCGTCTATGGAATCCGAGTACATCTCTGCTGTGGAGGCTGGCAACGAAGCTCGGAAGCTGCGCTTCTTGCTGGCAGAGTTTGGGCTCCTCAAGGAGGACGAGCCCACGACGCTCTACGTCAACAATCAGTAAGCCATTGTAGTGACTGAAGGGATGGGGCTGAATGGGAGCCTTAAGCATATGGAGCGACGATACATGTTTTTGCAGAACATGGTCGAGCGTCGGAAGCTGAAATTGCAGTACAGGTATTGCATTTTCCTGCGTTTGATCGATGCTTTGGCAAAGTGGGTCAAGTGCGATTGTCTGCGAAGGGGAGCGCAGACGAAGTCTTGTCTGAGGAAGAATAGGTGCCATGACCTCTTTCATGGCTAGTGCGGTAATTTAAGCGTGCGAAGAAGTGCAGATTCCCGCAACTTTCTATGTGTTTATTTTGTGTGCTTTCTTTTAGTTTTAGTGTCTCCTCTGGATCGGGTTCTGAGCAGATCGGTGATTTTGCATGACCAGTGCAGAGGAGTATTGAGAATAGCCCTGATCCTGCGAAGGCTGCAGAAGTCTACAGAAGTGGCATATCAACAAAGTCTATGGATGCAATCCCTGCAGAAAGGCCTATCGACGAAGGGCAGATTTGTCGACAAGGAGAGGCTCTACGCAATACCCCTCATCGACGGAGAGCAGTCCTGTCGAAGTGACTTTGTTGTTGATGGCGCAGCTCCTGCAAGAGGCGAATTTCTACAAGTGGCTTCTACGACGAAAGCGGTATTCTGTGGAAGTGGTCTATGCAGATTACGGAGTGGAAAATACCCTTCTGCCAAGGGGCCATTCGCAGATGAACGGTCATCTACAGAAATGCTCGCAGAATGCACGTCTGCATGCGACTTAGCGGCAGAAGTTGAAATTCAACATGCGCTGTAGAATGGACCTCAGGCGCACTGGCGTGAGGGCTCTTCCGTGGGAGTGATGCAGAAAGAGTTCGACACTCTCTTTTGTGGGAGTGCTGCAGAAAGATTCCGACACTCACTTCTGTGGGAGTGCTACAGAAAGATTTCGACACTCACTTCTGTGGGAACACTTTAGAAAGTGTTCGCGGAACTCTCTTCTGTGAATGGCTCCTCGACAGAATTGACTTTCTGGCGCTAAGGGACCGTTCCGAAAGGGTTCAAATTTCCACCCCCTTCAGATGTTTCGAAATGAACCGATCTAGACCGAAAAGGCAAATCTACCTGCAAATTTAAGAAATTGAACACAGGTGACGCACATTTCGTAATTGCGGAAAAGTGCGTAACAGTTGATAGTTTCATCACCTGAAACTGTTAAATAACTACTTTGAGGCTGGTGAAAATTCCTAAGCATGTGCTATGATTTTCACCTGCCATCGCTGACTTGGCTAAGTGCAGCTGGAAGAAGTTATGTCAACGTTCTAGTGAGAACGTTCTAGCGGTGTTCAATGAGGTAGTATTAGCATTTGCCTTGTGCACAATAATTTGTAATCTTGATTCTAGTGAATTTTGTGTGAATGCAAGCCTTGTCAAGCTGAGCTATGGAACACACAATCTGGAGGCAGACTTCTCCTTAGGGAACTGCAGAGCTAGAGTAGCTCTATCTGCGTCAGGCACTTCCGCAGAATCTCCTGTTATAGCAGAAAACTCTGCGCCCTCTCCCCTTGTACCCCCTCCCCTTTCCCCTTGTACCCCTTCCCCTTCCCCTTGTACCCCCTCCGTACCACTTGTACCCCCCTCCTTTCCCCTCTACCCCCTCCCCTTTCCCCTTGTACCCCCTCTCCTTTCCCCTTATACCCCCTCTCCTTACCAGGGTAGGAAACGCAGGAACGTGGGAGGGTACAAAGCTAGTCTTATCTCCCAGCCCTCCCTCTCCTGTTCCGTCCCCCTATATCCATGCCTTCCGTTTTTTCCACACCCCTACACCCTATCTCCCTGCCTCCCCACTCCGTTCCCCCATTCCTACTACCCCTTTCCCCCATTTGCCCACCCTGTTCTCCCATTCCTACTACCCTTTCCCCCATCCGGGTGTGACAGGCGATCGCATGCCCTTCTTTTTCGTTCAGCCTGCGACCCTCAGACTTGTCGCAGGGTGTTCCTTTCAAGGGGTACGATCTGTTTAGTATCGTAGGTGAATAAATGTGAGCTGCAATTTTGCAGGAATGGTGTTTTCGAGACTGGGAAGGTGTACCAACGCAAGTCAGATCCTTTTTTCTGACCTTCAAAAAACCATATTTTCAAGTGCGCCCCCCCATTCCTATTCTAGCCCGTGGCTTTAAAATGAAAGAGCATTGTACTAACAGGTTTTGAAGTTTCAACTCCATCCTCGGTGTGCTCCTGGGGGCCCAGCGCTTAAAGCCCATATCCCAAATTAGTTCACGCAAGTCAACGGGTGGAAAAACCAATTGTTTTATTGGGTGCAAAATAATGTGATTCCGTTATTTCACGGGGGATTTCGGTGGATCTGACGGCCGAGACGCAAGGACACATGAAGTCCTAATTTGTAAGCGCAATTACAGGAGTTGGGTTTGGCTAGACCGATCCAACGACCGAAAGTGCATGAATTAAACTGGGCTCAGTTTGTAAAGCTGATTTCTACCGTATATATACCAGCCTCGATTTTGCCTCTCACGGTGATGAAGTGGTAGTCGTTTTTTCCTTCTTCTTCTTCTTCTTCTTCTTCTTCTTCTTCTTCTTCTTCATCTTCTTCTTCTTCTTCTTCTTCTTCTTCTTCTTCTTCTTCTTCTTCTTCTTCTTCTTCTTCTTCTTCTTCTTCTTCTTCTTCTTCTTCTTCTTCTTCTTCTTCTTCTTCTTCTTCTTCTTCTTCTTCTTCTTCTTCTTCTTCTTCTTCTTCTTCTTCTTCTTCTTCTTCTTCTTCTTCTTCTTCTTCTTGATCCCGGGATGTACCGTCTCCACTTTCTCAAAGACTACATCCTCCTCACGGTCTACTTCGATGACCTGCTCGACACAGGCACCAACCACGACCTTCTCGACCAGTTCAAGTGAAGTCTAGGAGAGCGCGTCGACATCACAACCTCCAAGACCATGACCCAATTTCTCGACCTTAACATCTTGTACATGCCAAAAGCCATCCACATCTCAGCATCGAATTACGTCGAAACCCTCGCCAAAAAAATCAACCTAACCCCAGCACCGCTTTCGACACCTTATCACACACCCGCCGCCGGCTACAAGCCCGACACCAAGACGCTCGCCCGTGCCGCACATCAGCTCTACCAGCAGCAACTTGGATGTCTACTGTTCGCTGCTGTTACGTGCCGACCCGACCTATCTTGTACATCGCCAGCCAGCTCATCCAATACTCTCGGCGACCTGAAGGGGAGAACCTCCTAGACCTACAGTGAGCTCTCCTACACTTTATTTCGACTCCCCACATCAGCCTCACTTACTCCACCATCACCACACCCACATTCCAACTCATTGGCTACGTCGACGCAGACCACACCGCATCCCCCACTAACTGCCGCTCTCGCACTTGGTTCCTCTTCCGACTAGAACCTACTAGACCCATCTTCTGGAACTCACAGAAGCAGCAGTTGATTGCCCTCTCCTCGGTTGAAGTAGAGTACATCGCAGCAACCTCCGCCATTTGTGAATGTCTCTACCTCCAAGAACTGTTGCAAGAGGCGAAGCTCAGCACTTCGCCAACATTCAAGCTACACTGCAACAACCAGAGTGCAATCAAGATCGCCAACAAGCCCGGCTTCGTCAATCGCACAAAGCACCTCGCCATGCGATTTTTTTTGTCAAGGACGAAAACGACAAAGGGAAAATGGACCTGACGTACTGTCACACTGGTGGCATGGCAGCTGACTTTCTTACCAAGAAGCTGCTAGGTCAACAGTTTTTGCACTACGCTAAGCTGTGTGGAATCTTCAAGCGTGCCAAGCTCGAGCACCTTTAGCAATGAAGGGGAGTGTTACGATAAGGAATTTGTTGCATTCCTGAAAGTGACATTCGAGCTGTAACCCTTGTCGACCCATAACCAGGGTCCTCGCAAGGAAAAAAACACGTCTGGAAATCCGACGGGGTTTCGTTGCTTCGTCTGACCATCAGATGGAAAGTTTTCAGCGGTCTAAACTTTCTGACGAAATGGTTCCACAAGTCTGAACAATCTGACAGAATTTTATCCAACCGCCTTCTCATGGACATGGCAGCCGCCGCCCCTTGCCTACGTACGCTCTGGATTCTCTGCCATTATGGTGTCGTCACTGCAGACATGCTCCCAAGCCTCCTGGTGGTGCCTGCTGCAGCTGGGCTGGTTGCTCCTGGCACGGGCGCATCCGAAGCCGGGCGTGAGGCTGAGGTGCGTCACCGTGGCCGTTGCGTGGTGGGTGCTGTGCGTGGTGCGGTAGGGTTAAGGGAGTTGTGCCTGGAGTTGTGTGGGGAGGAGGGCAACAGCCATGGTCGGGGTGATGCCATCACCCCGGATGGTCTGCTGCGGTTCGTTGCTGCCTGCCCCACCCTGGAAAGCCTGCAGCTTGGGGGGAAGTGGACTTGGAAGCGGGGCGACGTGATTCTTTGGGGCCGCACGCCAACCGATGACCCTGTGCCACAGGTGCCCATGCTGAGGCAGGTGGACTTGCATATGGCGCTCGGCGGCAGATCCTGTGCTCGACCTTCCGTGCACTCCCCCTGTGCCTCTCTTGAGTCGCTCACCCTCAAATTGCCCGACTCTGTCAAAGCCCTTCCTGCCACCATCAGCCTCCTGTCCCGGCTGACCTCGCTCTGTGTGGAGGGAAAGCAGCTCGCTTGGGCTCCCTCAGCACCCTCTCCTCCCTCCAGTGGCTGAGCCTGTCATGTGCCGACCAGGGCACTGTGCTTTGCAGCTCCATACCCTCCCTCACGGCCCTGACATCTTTAACCGCCACCGCTGCCCTGGATACAGAACCCATCCCCATCATTGGTCTGCAGTCCCTAAGGCAGATTGAGAGCTGCTCTCTGCATCCCGGCGTCCTGCTGTCCATGGGGGGGCTGAGGGAGCTGACACTCTCAGGGGACGTGGTCGCAAGGCCCGTGTTGAGATCACTCCCTGCGCTGCCTTTTTTTTCGAAAGCTTGTGCTTGACCATTGTGACATAAAAGGTCTGCCCTGTAATTTTGGCGGGCTTAAGGCACGGGAGGACCTACGGCTGATTGGCTTGGGGAGGATTCATGATCAGGGGCTGCGGCTGCCCCCTTCCTTCACCCAACTGCCTGCGCTGCGCACACTAGTGATACACCTCAAATTTCCAGAGTTCAGCGAGCGGGGAGGCACTTATTTCTGTGACGATTCAGAAGAGGAGGAAGAGTGTTTGCGGCTGCCGTGTCAGCGGGAGGTGGAGCTGTACGGCCTGGAGCTGCTGGATGTCAGGGACGGGCAGCATTCCCTCCTCGACCTTGTCTTGGAGCACATCCCTTGTGTGCGGCGGCTAAGCCTGCTGGAGATGTACGACCCTTCGAGGGGGCAGGATTTCAGCTTCCCCTTTCCCTCACAACTTGCACCACCTGGGCAGACTAGAGGAGCTAGTGGTGCAGTACGTGGACTGCGAGGAGCTTCCGGACTCCATCGGACGCCTGAGGGCTCTCAAGTACCTCGTGCTGGAGGACATTCCGGGACTGAGAGAGCTGCCTGACGCCATGGGGAGCCTGCATCAGCTACAGGAGCTGGAGCTGGTCAATTTTCCCAGGCTGCGTGCGCTGCCGACGTCACTAAGTTCCCTTGGGGAGCTGAGGCTGCTGAGGGTGCAAGGGTGCCCGAGATTGAGGGAGGTCCGTGTTCGTAGTGGCACTGTAGATGAGACAGGAAGGGTGATGTGGAGGAGTGTCGTAACTGTGATAGCAACGAGTCTGAGGGAGGCGATGGGGAGTTGAGTGAGGTCAATGGGGCGGACAAGGACAAGGAGGAGGATGAGCACGAGGACCTGTGATATTTTGAACAACGTCAAGTCACAGCTCACATCTTGCCCAGCCATAGGTTCTCAGTGGATGCGCGCCGCACCATGTGACATGACGTGACTGGAGTTGGCTGCATTGCACTGCAATTCAAACCCCAACTACCCAGCAAAAATGCTGCCAAGCGTGACACGCACTTCCAAAATGCTCCCCCCATCTGCCCCTCCCCCCCAGCTGCTCCCCGCAGCTGCTCCCCGCAGCTTCTTCCCCCAGCAGCTCCCCCCAGCTGCTCCCCCCAGCTGCCCCCCCCAGCTTCCCCCCCCATCTGCTCCCCCCAGCTGCTCCCCCCAGCTCCCGCCCTCCCTTTTCGCCCTCGCTCCCTGCTTCCCTCTGCTGTTCGTCCAAACAATCGCTCCCTCCCTGCTTCACCTTCCCCTAAATTCCTCTCATCTGTTGCGTCCAAGGCTCTAGTTGAGGTCTTCAGATGTCTCTCCAGTCAGTGTTTTGCCTCCCCTCCACCCTGGCCTCACAGTAGGATAAAGTTGAACCCTTTTTTTCTGCTTACAGCGTGTTTTCCTGCCTTGTTCCACCTGAACGGCCTCTCTGCCCTGCTGGCGCCTAGCATCATGATCGCGACCATGGGTTATAGATGGGATGGAATGCATGTGGTTATGTGGCAGCAAAAGCCTATTTCCCTACCCCTGCTTTCCCTGCTTTCCCTGCTTTCCCTGCTTTTCATGCGTTCCCTGCTTTCCCTGCTTTCCCTTCTTTTCCTTGCTTTCTCTATTTCCCCTGCATTCCCTTCTTTCCTTGTGTGTCCTTCCTTCCCTTCTTTCCCTGCGCACGCGGATTGTTCTCCTTGTGTGGTCTGGTTCTCGCAAGGTGAACCCATGCAGAGTGAAGATTTGTAGATCTGGGGAGCAGACCTCTAGGGGGTTCCCTACAAGAGCTTGGTCAACATTGTTGCACGGTAGAAATGACGCTGGTTGTTTGTGAGTGTGATGTGGCATTGACATGTGTGCTGGGAGGGAACACCAGAGATGACCTCGCCTCACCAGGCTGTCCTGAAAGAAACACTCTTGTTTCGTTGTTCAAACCGTGATCCCAAGGGTCCAGCCCTTAACCAACCAACTCGGACCTGGCTAGCGCAGTGCAGTATGTGCTTAAAGGAGATAAGCCTGGGAACTATCTAGGCGTAGGAGAAAGTCGAGAGGTTTAGCTTGGGGGGAAGAGTTACGAGAGGAAAAAGGGTTGGACTAGAAGAGGAAGAGATACAAGAAGGGGGGGATTGTCCCCTATACAGTAGGATCCAGTGAAGTAGCACATCTACCAAGTCTACACAAATATACACTGACGGAAAGAATTGTCCACATGTTTGGCAATTTTTTGAATTTCCACCGTTAAAGGGCATTTGAACATTAAGCCTTAATTGGAGGCATTACCCACTATATGCAGGCTAATCTAGGGAGACATTAAAATGCTACACATTTGATGAAACTACTATCGTTAACAGTAAACAGCAAACATAACCAAACACGGTGCATGTGGACAATTATTTCCAGGCGGAAGCAGCAACTTGAAAAACCCTTAAACTAGTACCTGGTCCACCGCCCTTTAGCCCTAATCACTGCTTTCACCCTCCTGGGCATGCTGTCGATCAAATTGGAGCACACCTCTGATGGGATCTTCTCCCACTCCTCTTGTACACGCTCCCACAGGTCCACCATACCAGTGGGAGGTGTCTCATGCTTTCCCAGCTCCCTTTTAAGATGAGCCCACAGATGCTCAATGGGGTTCAGATCAGGACTTCCTGCCGGCCACTCCAGGACCCCATACTCCTGCTCCTGAAGCCACTGCTGCACCACACGGGACTTATGCTTGGGGTCGTTATCATGCTGGAAGATCACAGCCGAGGGGGTTAGCTTGTAAAAGTCGATGGTTTTTTTCAGCTCGTCTTGCAAAATGCTCAGATACAGCGGCCCGTCCATCCGACCATCGATTTTGCACATGAAACCCGCCCCCTCAAACGTCATACATCCCCAGATCATCAAGCCGCCGCCCCCGTGTTTGACGGTTTGCTTGATATGGTGGTGTTGGAGAGTCGTACCTTCACGAACCCAGGCGTACGCGCGGCCGTCAGAGCCGAACCTACTAATCCTCGTCTCATCCGACCATATGACCCGTCGCCAATCATCTATGGTCCAATCCGCGTGGGCCCGTGCGAACACCAGCCTATCGCGGATATTTTTCTTGGTGAGTCGCGGCTTCTTAGGCTGCTGAACTGCGATAAGGCCGCTGGATTTGAGCGCATTACGCACCGTCCTAGGATGCACCGTGATGCCGTGCTGGGATTCGACGATTTGGGCCGCATGCCTCGAGGTTTTCGCCTCGCCGCTAGTGATCGCCCTGACGATCCCACGACGAATTCTACTCGACAGTACGCGTGGACGACCAGCAGTGGGCATTGTAGGACGTACGTCCTCGGGACTAGTCTCTGAAATCGCCTTGAGCCCAACATCATGCACTGTACTTTTCCCAACGCCAACCTGTTTCGCGATTTGCCTCGTGCTGAACCCCCTACGCAACAGGGCCACGATCCGGGCGCGACGAGCCTCATCTATCGGTCTCATCTTGGCGTAGTCTACGCCTCGGGTATAAACTTTATTCTGACTACTCGACGATTGCGTTAGGAACTATGGAGAGAATGCTCTAGTCGAAAACGGATCTAGTCCGCTGCTTGGCCAAAACTGTCCGGATGCACTCACGCGACTGAAATCTTGGCCACGCTATTAGTGCGACCCATTCAGGTTGCAAACGTGTTACCCTATTGTAACTGGCACGCGTAACTTATTAGTCAGCAATGAACATTCAACGATACATCGGGTGAAAGCATTCAAATCATGTGTTGAACCTAAAATTGGACTTTATCCGGGCAATACTTTCCGTCGCTGTATATATAAATTATCATTTGACACACCCCCTAGGCTTGGTAGTGGCAAGCCCACCCCACACGCAGCACCCCCACATCCTTGCACCCCCATGCCCTGCAGAAGCTGTGGCGTCGACCAGCCGGTCGACCCCTCGGCAATTGAGGTGGCGACGTCGACGGCGGATCGTCGTCGGCGGCGGCAGCAGCGGCGTCGGCGACTGCGGCGGCAGCGGCGGCAGGGTCTGCAGCACCTGTGGTGGCGGCGGCGGCGTGGAGGCACCCGGCGGCGGCGGCGGCGGCGCCCGAGGCACCCGGCGGCGTGGCTCACACTGCGACGACGAGGGGGAGGACGACACGAGGCTGCCAGTAGTTGCGGCGGGGAGGAGGGGAAAGGCAGAGGAGGGGAAGGAAGGGGGGGCGAATCTTCAGCGAGGCGCCATGGCTGGTGCGGTGCTTACTGGCGTGCGGGCGAGCCGGACGGCGCTAAAACCAGGCGCTAGCCGCTGCCGTCCGTGCGCTGGCGCATCGACGCCGCCATGGCAGCACGACGACGCCGCCACGGCGTGGCGTCGATGCCACGGCAGCACGTCGACGCTGCCATGGCAGCATGACGAAGCCGCCATGGTGTGGCGTCGACGCCACGGCAGTGCGTCGAGGCTGGCACGGCAGCACGACGAAGCCGCCATGGCAGCACGACATGGCTGCCACGGCGGCGAGGAAGTGATAGGAGGGAGGAGAGTACGCTGCGGAAGCGTGAGGAGAAGGCCCGAGCGGAGGGACCTGCTCTGACACCATGTTTAGAGGAGATAAGCCTAGGAACTATCTAGGCATAGGAGAATGTCAAGAGGTTTAGCTATGGGGGAAGAGTTACGAGAGGAAAGAGGGTTGGACTAGAAGAGGAAAAGACACAAGAAGGGGGGGGGTTGTCCCCTCTACAGTAGGATCCAGTAATATAGCACATCTACCAAGTCTACACAAATATATACATAAATATATAATTTGACAGTACGGTCCTTGTGATATATTTCTCTCAAGCTGGAATATTTTGCTACTACGTTATCATTTTGCACGTCGGATTATAGAAGGGCGTAGATACTGAAACACTTAGGACAATAATATTTGTGGGGATAAATGCAGATGATTTGTTGTTTTTTTTTTAGCTCAAAATGATGTCGCATATCACAAGAGATTAGAAGTATCCTTGTCATTCCCATGATTCTTGCCATTTATCCTTGCGATACGGTAATGGCAAAGCAGAGATCAAATCTGCATAATCTCATTTATCATCGTATACCTTCACCTGTTTATGTGCTTCCACTTACGAGTTCTCAAAACTTCACCTTACCCTTCCCCCTGTTAAATTATGTATTTGATATATATATAATGGTAGCAGGGCCTCAGATTCGTTTAGGGGCACCGTGATTGCTCAGGGTCCCCCCCCCTAACCTCAATGTTTTTTCAGGCCTCGCAAAGAAACTTACGCTGATCAATCAGGGTGTTGTAAAGATTTTGCGCTGAATAAACAGAGTTACCTACAAAAAATACGTTGTTCAAGTATATGCCCATTATTACTATCTTTTATAAAGACAAGAGCTTACAATCTAACATGGGCATACTTGGACCTACTTAAGCATCCTCCTCTGGCTCCTCTGGTTGCACACTGTCATGGTCTACAGAGGAATCGTCCTCCTTCTCTTTCCCCTTCCTGCTCTTCTGGGCTCTGCTCTGTGGGGCAGTGCTGTAGGGCTTCCTCTTCCTGTAGGCTCTCCAGATGTCAATGACGGCATCCCAGTCGGGGTCGTAGTCTAGCAGGCTCATACACATCAAATCTCCAAGGCGTGAGTCCTTCATGCTGCCCCGCAGCCAGCTCTTAATCACATTATGGCGGGAAAACCCGCGTTCACATTCCACTGTGCTCAGGGGAAGAACTGCCGTAGCGCACCACAGCTTGACGAGATTGGGGAAGCTATCCTCCCAGTTTGGAGACTTCAACATGGTCGTCAAGCCGGTGTAGAAGCCCTTGTCACTCTTTGGCAGGGCGGCAAGGACAGGGCAGAAATGGGGGATCTCCAGCACAGCCGCTCACTTGTTGACGCCTGCCAGTACGGGAAGGGTAGGAGGGAGAATGAGGGGATTATTAGTAAAATAGGGTAGA